TAGATAAAGTTGGTCAAGGGACATACGGAAGATATGGCCTAACCAACGTAAGCGGTTAAGATTCAGCAAACACTCCATTGAGGAACCAGTAGGTCTCTTGCCAAAAACCAACTGGCGGACCTCAGCATTGCTCACCCGGTGTTTGCACCAGATTTGAACAATATTCCGCAGGCATCGGTGATCAAACATCGCCAAGCGTCTAACGTCTTCAACATGAACTGGCTAGATTCCTGATTCATACATCAACACCAGCCTTACCGCAGGGTTATGTACTCTACCATTTATTGACAGGCTGATATCCCGCCGTCTCCATAAATGATTGAGTCCCTGGAAAACAACACCGACCTTACTGATACGGGAAGTAGCTTGCTCAGTGATGTGACCATCAGAGGTGACAAAGTTACCAAGGTAAGTGAACCGATCCACCACTTCTAGTGGCTGTTCGGTGATAGCTAGAACCGGTGACGTCTCGGTCCAGTCCAGCAGCAGCACAGGTGCGAAACAAATGCGGAAGCATGCGGCACTACCCGTCTGTCTATCCAGCAACGTCTGCATAACAACTGCTTCAGACCCAAGGAGAGCTATGTCGTTCTCATAATCTAGGCTTGTTAGTCAGTCACCTGGCAGAGGTTCAACTTCGGTTGAGTCTGAAAGAACCTAGTCAACCATGATCATTCCGATCACAAAGTTTAAAAGGAAAGTAGATATAGGACAACCCTGGGGAACCCAACTAGTCGTGGAGAATTCAGGAGATAGTTTCACATATACCCTTTTATGCCATCGGGAGTCATGGCAGAGACTTCCAAAAGCAAAGGAGTTTAGCTGGCATGTCTTTTAGTGATATGAAGTAGTGCGACAAGCTGGCGCGGTCAACAGAGTCGAGGGGGCTTTCAACTCAAAGTATGTCAACATAGTCGATCGTCTGTATGTGTGTCCCTGTGCTAACATTTGGCAAAGACCAAATACGTGATCCATCTAACCAAGACCAGGGCGGAAGCCTGCCTGACTTTCAATGACTCCGACCTCACGAGCACCAGGAAACCATCGAAGAATGATACCTATGAGACGTTTGGAGGCAATGGCAATAAGGTTAACGCCTCCATGTTTTTAGCACAAACCACGCTTGCCGTCCTTGAAGATGGGCACGACAGCTGAGAGTCGTCAGTTTAAAGGCGCCATTTCAGTACCTCAAATCGTGTTAAGGAGGTAAGCAAGTCATGTCAACAAAGAATTAAGTGCATTTTCAGCAGAGATGGAGTAAAGTCGTCGGGTCCAGGAGCCTTGTTTCGTTACAACACGGTGAGTCGTTATCGAAGTTCTTCCAAACTGGGAGGTGTGACATTAACATCCCACGTCAGCTCAGTGGATTAGGCAAGCTACAGTGTCGTAGTAGACTTGCAGAACTGCTCTACAAAATGTTTCGCATAACGGGCTAGTTCACGAAACTGAAAATGGATCAAGCGTCTATCTTCCTCAGCTAATGTCTCCTTAACTGATGGCTTTCTCGGACCCGTGCTCCGGATGAGATGTAATAGCACTCCATGGTTCCCAATAACACCGGCTATCTCCATCTCAGGAGCCATTGCCACCCACCAACGCCCCCCATCGAGAGTTACGGACACGTTGATAGCCAGTACCCGATGAAATCTGCTTCCGAGGTTCCACCAAACTGACCGGTGTCCCAAGGAGCCATTCACAGTTCGAACGTATCAAGTTGGGCGAACAGCAGGCGTAAGAGGTACGCATCATAGCACACTTGAAACGACTCCATTCAGCGTTCCGTTCATTAATCTCATTCATCACTGACAGTTGATGGACCAGTTCGTCGTCAGATTGTTGAACTGCAGACTGAATTCGTTACTAGCACGAATCTTATAAGTTAGGCGCTTGGTTGAAGCGGGAGGAGTGAGCGCCAGTCGTGCGTACACTAAGGTATGGTCATGATCTCAATGGGTGCTCCAAATTGACCGACAGTCTTGGACTGGTGTGCGCTATCTATAGCTAGTGTCAATATAAAAACAAAGGCATCAACCGTACGCCGGTACGCAGTGCCGATCCTTCACTGCCGCGCATCCAGCACCAGTCGCAGGTGGGCTAAGGATACTATGAGGGTCGCGCGGTCCCTACATAGGCACGAACCCGGGTCCGCAAGATAACAAGGCAGGTTTGTAATCCAATAAGCCACGGATCAGGAAAGACGACCCCTTGGACATTCATGTCATGTAAATACTTTGAGCCATTGACTCGGTATCCCCAGAGATGAGAAGAGTGCAGCCATTGTCGTCAGACTCAGAACAAGGACGTCGAAGATTCGTCACAAGGGTGTTATCTTATATGTCTGTTTCGGAGACAGCACACATCAATATCAAGCGAGTATTGTCGACGGAGTAGAGATGGCAGATGATACACTCCATTCCGAGAAAAGGGTTTTGTTCGAGGTACCCTACGTTTAGCTTCTGAATCAACAGTTGACCCACAAAGCAGTGGGGGGACATGGTGCGCTTTCGGGACTTCACCCAGAGCCTTTGGCACAATCGCTTGACCCCCGGGACAGTGGTTAGCAAGTCTAGCTCGGGAGTTTGATTAGAGAGACCCATTGTGATAAACTTGAGGCTAATCACACAGGGCCTTTGAAGATGTAGAACGATTCACTTGTGTATTGCAACAGTAGTATGTTGTGTACCTTGAGCTCCATGATGAGGCAGATGTTGAATATAGTATGCTTCTTCAGCGCAAGTAGGCTACAGTGACCTACACTTAGCTTGTTCCGCGTTACACTAGATCAGACTGAATGCATTTTAATGCAGACCTCCATATGTGCACATGCACATATAAAGGCTAGCATTGAACGAGAACATAAAGTCCTGGAGACACAAAAGTGAATCCATTTTATTTTATTTGCTCTGCTACGTTAATCATCCGCATAGTTCCCGTTTATTTTTCACATTTTTAGTTATTTCATTTCCTGTGTTAGTCGGTATATATTCTTTAGATTACACTTATACTTTCCCTAGATCATCCGTACACTGGAGCAGAATTAATACACGTTTTTGAGTTGCTCAGTTACGTCACTGCGTAGTTTTACAGTCCAATTTGCGTACATATATTCTTTCATATCCATGTTTGCTGTCTGATATCCCCGGAGAGGCTGCGCTTGATGTGAATGTTGACAAGTTGCCTACCTGTCGATGAACCGCTACCTCGATTATACTGGCTCCAGGAGGCAGCTGGTCATTGCTTGGGGAGACAGGGTGCATAATCGGCGTGACCGTGTCAGGCTCAAAGAGTGGCTCAATGAGTTGAGTGTGGAACGAGCTACGCGCCAGCCACCGTCTTGTGTACGTCAGGTATGCATGTATTACACCGAGACGAAACCAGAACACACGGCTCTGAGTAATCGGCAAGAACAACTGTACACCAAATGATAAACGCCGCGCAGACGAAAGTTGCGAGTCAGATGGCGCTGAACCAAAATCATCAAGCAATAGCCATGGCAGACGGGCCAACAGACGCACACAAGTACGCGATAAATGCTTGTCACAGTGTATCAACATGATTCCCTAACCAGACTGGAACGCTGCCGCTATGCATGTTGAAAGAGTGTGGGCCGGCTCCGTTGAGGAAAGGTGGATTCCATCCACTCGCCACTCGGTCTTATTCGTTCGAGTTTACACTGGATATGGGGATGTGGATGAAGCTGTGCGTGGTGGGACGCAAGCCACCCATGGTGCCTCCGTAGGCGCAGGAGGTTGTAGTGACAGTCGAATCCGAAATCGGATGCAACCAAGCATGTTATGCACCTGCGACCGCAGGTGGGACTTGACGGGTTTGAACCAATTTGATCAAGGTCCGTCCAGCTTGAGGCGGGCGGTAGCAAATCAATGAGCACCGCGCGGTGTTCTCACACCGTCACAGACAATGCGTGGTGTCCGTACTCTATGCCAAGCGAGTTGTGAGCTCATAACACATAAACCCGTTGCCTTACATAGCTAAGTTTCAAGGGAAGAGGGTCAACGTCCGTAGAGTGTGAGACTGAGTTAATCTGATCCCGAACCATCAATGTGTCTGGTATGTGTGGCTCTGAAGGCACTCAAAAAAACTCCACCCAGTACGACCAATGGGTTACAGAGTTACGCAAACCATTGCACCAAGTTAAGGGATAATATAACTGCGGGATACTGTTTCGCAAAAACGTTCCGGGGATGATTCCCATCAATTTCAACAGTTTATATAAAAAGGGCATCAGCAATAGACCAGTGCGCAGCACCGACGCTTCACTATCAGGGAACCACCACCAGTCGGATGCTGCAAAGGTTGCCCGGTCCTTACGCAGGCTCGAACTCACGCTCTCGTCTTACAAGGCAGACTTGTTATCCTTAAGGCCACCGGCCAGCTTCAACGGAGTATGGAATAAGAACTGGCGATATCTGTTAACCGATCTGACAGAGAATGCAGGTTAATGTGGAAATAGCCACTTTCCAATGTGTGCGGATTGCAAGAAGGAAGGCGGTTTCTTGATGAGCAGCCTAAGAAGATAGGATCAACTGAGAATGAAGAAAAATGAAAGTTTCTAGGTTGATCCCATGTGGATAGGACTAAGGATAATACAAATACGACTTTCTGACTGCAATCATCAGTTGCCCCAGAAACAGGAGGTAAAAGAAAGGGACTAGTAATCTGATTGCAACAAATAAATGAAAAATAATCGCTCAGAAGGCGACAACAGTGGATCAAATACTCTGCTTTATCGAACCGAAACGCCCAAAACCCAGCATCACATTACGCCGTCTCGATGTGACGAAAACAGCCGGGAAAATCTACGCAGATTCATGACATTGGTCCAAGTGCACGCTAGAAACCAAGGAGGTGGAGATCGAGAACAAGCTAATTCGAAATGCAGACTCGTGGTGCCTGCAATCCCCATGAACCAAAGCAGTCAAACAAGAGACTATATACGCGAGTAGGTAATTTGGGAATACAAAAAGAAAGGAACACATTACTTGATAATTTCCATCATATCGTCCACAGTCTTTGGAGTGGTGGGTGGCGAACCGTCCAACCTTGTTGCCAGAAAAGATGGGTGCCGATAATTTATCAAATGAGGATGATCGTTGTCGGATGTTGCGCGACTTGCATACGGCAATGCTTTCTTGTCGTGACTGAGAGCAAATGTTGGCCACATGTCCAACGATTCCTGCCGTGGCTTATCTGTATAGACGGCTGAATGATCAACAGCGTTAGTGTCGTGATGCGGAACGGTGTGTCCAATACCATCGGTCAAGAGTACAGGACGGATATCGTTCTGAAGGCGAGCAGCAGGTGGGCAAAACCCATCGGTGCAACGAGGAAGCTCCGGAGATGTGGAGAGATGGAAACCTGAAGTCGGTGGTAAAATGGTCCGAACGGTGAGATTCCGTTACTTTAATAACTGGGTGCATGTGCAGTAATATGTAGTCAACAGCATTGTTAATAAAAAGAATACAGCCGGACAGTAGAGGTTAAAAGTACGCGAGAAAACTCATGGTGTTATCGAATGAAAGATAACATAGAGAAAGCAAACCAGTTGTTAGAACATAGCTAGTGCAATTACTACACTACGGTGTTAAAATTAAGGATGATGATGAGGCAGTGTGGCAGATAAACAAGCAAACATAGCTGTCAGGCAATAACAACATATCCTATGTTCTGATGCTTCATTGCCACAGATCCAATCAACTCACAAAAGCGGAATAATGAGGAGAGTGAAGAATTTAGTGAATCTCAACAACAAAGTGTGTGCACTTTGCCAACACCACACATTCACAAGCAGCTAGTCGTCCTGTGAAGGTATGACGACATCGGTAGGATCGAATCACGGATCCAGCATCCTAATCAACCTAGCTCAACAGATAACGAGGCACTATTTACACCTTTGCCAAACAGTAAGGCTAGGGGACAATGACAAACACACCATTGATCTCGGTTGCTCTCACCGTTCCCTTCTGATCTCGAACGACACACCCATATCGAGTTACGTGGAACGCAGCATAGAAGACAAAGTTGACCAAACAGCACCCAATTTATTCGTCGATGGTTTCACTAATCACCATCAGGTCCACTATTGTCTTCTTTGACAACCAAAACAGTGTTGGGCGGGCATACACAATACGCATCCTGACCCAACTGACATCTCTTCATTGCAATGAGATGCAATTTTAACGCGGTGCGATGGTTTGCGGTCATCCGCGATTCTTGCACTTTCGGAGCTACTCATACCCAATTGGTCAATGATGGGAAACCAAGCGAACGCTCTCCCGGTTCTAATTCTTGGGTTTGATGTGCGTGACTCCTTCTTCTTTAAAATGATCTCCATGTAATCTACCGCTAAGCTATCGCGGTCAATTGTGCTTAATCACTGTCTAGTCGAGAACTCCAAACGTTCTGCTGCGTCGGCGTGTGCAATAGAACCTCCTTCAAACGATTTTTCGACTTATTGGGTTAATCGCAATTGACTGTAAGCCATGAGGATCAACAGCGATTCCAGAGAATCGCGGGCGATCGTTTCACCTTATTGGGGTCGTCAGTGCAGTCCCTCATCCCCTGCAAGGGATCGAATCCATGCCCGCTAATGGCTTACACCACTAGCCATCAGTTTAGGCCACTGAGCAATAAGGGAGATAGCCGACCATCATAACTTGAAATAGATCTGCGATATAACCCGACCCATACTCCACTGCCATGCTGGTCAGTGCCCGTGCAGAATACACTAGTTAGCCGTCCCATAATTTCTTGACTCTCTCATGGTCAGAATATTTCAACGAATTCCTATCTTCTGGATCAAAGCAAGGGTGAAACTGTTCAGGCATACCTGCCTTCTTATTCCCTCCTTACCTTTTCTACTCCATATCCTCTCGATCCAGATTCACTTTTGTTCCCACCCCTTCAAGCCCCCGGCTCTTAACCTCCTTCCATCTTGCATTAATGAGATCTCATATAGTTTCGACTCAAATGTAATCGCATGGGCAGGTCCATGTCCACAATCGACCTGCATTAGTTGTAAGGAGACTGTTCTTAGACATTTTATCTCAGACCTATGCCTGCATGGTTGTCGATCACACATGCTTTCGGCCCCATGGTAAATTGGCGGACGAGAGCGGAGGCCGGTCATCATACATCCTTACACATGTGAGCTAGAGGTGGGAAACACCTCAACTATTGTGTCGCAATACGTGAGAAAGGAAAAAGGATGCAACATAGGCACGTCAGCTGAGCCACCAGTAACAGGTGGACGTCGTTCTTGAGAGTTAGCAGCCGGCTATTATGTTTCAGGAAAGAGATCGTGTTTGGAAGGATGGTTAAGCGGGAGGGGGGGGGACAAAAAAACTCATTGTTAACGTGGCGGTTTACTGAGATGGATCGGTTACGATGATGCCACAAGTACCTCCGTTTGACAAATACTGATAGGATTCTACTAACGTGAAGAGAAACGTCCTCGCTGACAAAGCTGCTTGCAGAAACATAGCTCCAAAAGTACACGAAACCATTCTCCTGTTCTTGTTGTGCACCTTCAATGGTGAGCACGGGAGCGGGAGTGGGTCAATCCTAAAGCAGCATTTTACACTATTAGAGCTATGGACAGAGTGACTTCGGTTGCAAAGGTGAAGAGGAATGAGACTGAGACTGTATTTAAGAGCAAGTAGAAAGGTTTCTGTACAACTCTATCTAATTAGGAAAAATCAGAATTTACTTGTGAATTATCAGCAGTTGTGTCTGGTCCGTTAATCGTTTATCCGTGTTCGGTTAGAAATTTGTACTAGCGTTATTATTTCCGGACATACAATGTCTTCTTTTGGCACTGTATGTGCATCGTTTCATAAAAGCACAGGTTTCCAAAATAATCGTCGATACGGGTTTTAAAACACTTCACAGAATCGGCCTCTATTAATCCTTCTGGTAGTGTATTCCATAAGTTTACGATTCTTCGTTCGATACAGAGCTGATGTGATACTTTGTTCATGCTGGGGACCCTGAGTTTGTAACGATGTCCTCGGGTGTTACAGGGTTCTCGCAGGTGAAATATTGGGGGCATAGGACAGCCTTGCCGCACCCCATTAAGGACAAAGAACGGTGAGTAAAGCTTGTCGTAAACCCTCATTCTGACAGGTATGGAGGTGAAGTGTGAGTAGGGTGGCGGTATGCATCACTGGGACCCATTTCTTTAGCAAGCAACGCCATAAAGCGTGTCGGTTCAGTTCAGGTGAACAACTATGACTCGAGCATAAAAACATGGTGGATCCAGTTGCCACGATTAACATCGCAAGAATAGTAATAAATAACAACGGTCAGTGGGGTTAAAGGCAAATATAACGTAAAAAGTTGAAGCAAGGAAGTGCGTTCAACTTATGGGAATGGAACAAAGTAAATAACCTGATGCAAGCAATCTAATGCAAGAAAGCCACTGACCGCGCAACTGTGCGATGTCTGACACGGTCTCTAACCATTGGTGAGGACCATCCCGAGAGACTCATGCACAAAGACGGCACGAAACAGTTCGACCAAGTCTCTCAGTCAATTTCTTCATCCTTCTGTGTCAAGTCATGGAATGCCAATCTCGCGGTTTCACCTAGATCGGTGTAGCCACGGTGTTTAACGCCTGAAGAGAATGCCGGTCAAGGGGTATGCGGAAGAAGTCACCTAGCCAAGGTAAGCGATAGATTCAGCAAACACTCGAGGGGCGCAGAAGAGTTCCTGCCAAAAAACCAACCAGTGGAACTTAACATTGCTCACCCGGTGTTCTTACCAAACGTGAGCGATACTCCGCAAGCACCGGTGATCATACACGGCCAAGCGTTCAATGTCATGGTCGCGAACTGGCCAGATCTATGAACCATATAGTAAGACCGGCCTTATCGCAGCGTTATACATCCTGCTTTTCACTGACAGGTTAATATCCCACCGTCTCCATAGATGGTTGAGTCTCTGGATAACCACACCGGCGTTGGTGGTACGCGAAATAACTTCATCAGTGATGTGACCACCAGAGGTGATAAAACTACCAAGGTAAGTAAACCGATCCACCACTTCCAACGGTTGTTCGGTGATAGCTAGATCCGGAGGTATGTCGGTCCAGTCTTGCAGCAGCACTTTGCACTTGGAAGGTGCAGAACACATGCCGAAGCGTGCAGCGCTACGCGTCAATCTATCCAGTAGCGTTTACATAGCAACTGCTTCAGACCCAAGGAGAACTATGTCGTCCGCATACTCCAGGTTTGTTAATCAGCCAGCTGGCAGATTTGCCACTCCAGTAGTTTGAAAGGACCGAGTCATTCATGGTCAATTCGATTACAGACTTGAGAAAGAAAATAGATATAAGACAACCCTAGCGAATCCCACTTGTCGTGGGGAACTCAGGAAACAGTTTCCCATAGACCATTACACGGCCCCGGGAATCACGGTAGACGGACTTCAGAATAAGGGAGTTTAGTCGGAACGCACTTTATGGATAAGCAGTGCCACAAGCTGGCGTGGTCAACAGAGTCGAAGGCGCCTTTCAAGTCAAGGGAACCAACCATGTTCGATCGTCCGTACGTGTGACTCTGCTCTAGCATGTTGATCAACCGAGTCAAATGCAGCCCGCATGTGTAGGAAGGTGATGACAGTGGGCCAGTGGTAGATGTGGCGGGGATGGAAAAGTTGATGGAGAGTGAAAATTGGATCAACCATTCAAGGTCAGGACGGAAGCCACCTTGATGTTCGCTGTAGTATGATTCATGTATTGCGAGGCAGAATGGATGCCAAGAGCTTGGATGCAACCGAAATGTGACTAATCCGTAGGTGATTGGCAGATGAAATGCGAGAGCCTTTCTCGAGAATAGAGACTGATTTGTAAAAGGATGGAGGCAATTTATTCATGCCAGAATTTAATGGTTAATGATTGCTAGGCCGCCGTACCAGAATAGCTCTGGAAGAAGTCCGTCTGAACCAACAGCTTTGAGTCACATCAGGAGTCGAATCTCGTGGCAGATTTCTGCTTCGCTGCGGGAATCCAATACGACGAGCCAGTGTAGGCAACTGGGTGTACTGCGCATAAGGATGAATGGAATGAAAATGATCCTCCCAGACGTCCAAATAAGTCCGATAGTTGGTGAACGGAAACTCAAGCGCCTCGCAGATAGCTTCACAGGCACCAGGATTTCTAAGCGAGTGGACAAAGCTTATGAGTATTGCCAAAGACGGCAGCGATTTCTATCTCCAAAATACGTTCAGACCACCAAGGTTCGCGATCTTTATGTAGGCTTTGCTTGAGTTGCTGGTTAGCAGAGCTGTGCCGCTCATTGTAATCCGATTCCACCGGGACATATATATATATATATATATATATATATATATATATATAT